GCAGCTGCCAAGGTTTTCTCAGTGCATTTACCTTAGGCCTCCTAATGAGGCAGCTCAACCCAAGAGGTGCAGTTCTAGGTGTCTTACTTTTCAAAGCTAGTTTGTAAGGCAGATTTATCTATGCTTTTTAAAGCTTTCTTGTATTTAGTAAGTCAATAGTTTATTAAAAAAAAAACAAAAAACAAAAAACAATCACCTTACATATTAAATCATTTTAACTTGGAATGTCTCTAACAGAATTAGGTAACTAAACACAAACTTGACTGGACATTTTGCAGAGCATATAGGAGTGCTCCTCCTTATTGTCAGTGAGATTTCATCTAACTGAGACTGAGATTCTCAATGCAGCACAGATAGCAAAGAATTCTGAAGACCAAACCCTTTCTGGTTAACCCTACCTAGCAAATATCTCAGTGACAAAGCAGCTGTTCAGTATTTTGATGGCACTGGTGTTGAGGCTTGTACAGAAAGAAATTTGTCGGGTTTACTATGAACTGGAATCAGTTTGACTCACTAGATGAGGTATTCTCAGCATACATTTCATTCAAAGTTTTTGAATAGAAACTGCCACAGAACCATTCTTCCTTGTCCAGAGATCCATTTGCCCTGGGGAATCCCATGCCATCCTTCTGTCTGTCCCAGTCAGAAGATAGCAGCGTGTCACTGCTCTGCCTCTGTAACAACTCACATTGAAAAGTTTTATTTCTGATTCTGCACATTGCTATCTGACACCATGATTGCTGATTGCTAAAGTGACCCCAAACTCAGTTTGATCTACATTCAAAAGTTCACGACTTGGACAGAAGGACTGGAGCCATTGAAAACAGCTCCAAGAGGACACTGTGATGGCAGTAGCATTGGCTTTTATTTCAAATTAAAAAATAAAAGTTAAAAAAAAATAAAAAAAATCAGACATGGAGAATGGGATGCCTTGTTGCTGTGTTGTTTTTGCTGATAGCCAGCTGGAAGTTCTGGGCCCAGGAGATGAGCTCAGACCATCGCCTTTACAACAGCATATATAGAGAAGAGCATTCATAGCCCTTGAAGTGTGAGTTTTTTCCTTTACTCCAGTAGAACTGCAAGCTGTTTTGGCATCCGTTTGCCATGTTGAAAAGGGACTATCTTCCCACGGAGCCTCACAACCCCTGTCTGCTAAACCTTTCCTCCTACTCCTACAACACCACAAAGGCTCAGCAAACTGGACCAATACACAGGAAGTGAAGAAGATCAAGGGATTCACTTCAGAACTACTCAATGCTTTGAGCCAAAATGTTAATACATGTGCAACCTATATGGGCTCTTTCAAAACTCATCACTAATTTTAATTTTCTTGCAAGAAAGAGACTCAGATACGTGCCTTTAAAGAGCTGTGATTAAAATAACTTGTTTCCTCACACTTATTGCCATAAAATGGTGCACTTATTTTCTCACATTGTTATCGGCAATCAGTACACAAAAAGTTATAAAAACAAGTCTTTTTTTTTTTTCCATTAGGGTAGCTTTCCATTCAAAGAACAGTGTTAAGTACTCAAAGCAGGAACGCAGCTATAATTCATACTAATTTTAAGATGGTATTTCACTGCCAGAGACTGTAAAACTGATGTGATAGTCGTGCCAAAGTCATGCCAAAGCTTTTCTTTGAACTGTGACATTTTGTGTGTCAGTTAGTTACTGAGTGTGACTTATCAGCCACCACCCACCCAGCTGATTAAAGATAGAAGACACAGTAACACTGCCACAAAGCTAAGGTACTAAGTTTTATTTTGGGAACCTCACAGGGACACACTTGACATTCTACAATGTTGTGCACGTATTTACTTTGGATTCTTCTGATTACTGAGTACATGGATGAAATACTCATTTTCTGATACACCAGGAAAAAAAGGAAACAAAACATTCCAGTGAGGAAAGTCCTGATATTGGGCTGAGTCCTCTGAACCCTTTTTCAGTCAAAGCTGTCCTGGATTTCACAATACTAACACTGTGAAAGCTACCAGGGATATCAGGTTACCCAAAGAACACAATTTAACAACTGCTCATTCCATCCATGATATCATTCAAGTCATTTAAAAGGAAATAACACATAACTAGATTCTGAGAGCTTTAGTGAATTACAGAAGTTCCAGGAGAACAAAGCAAATACATTTTGAAAGTATGGTTATATAATCTATTTGCTTTAAAGTAGCTGCAATGAGCTAAGCATACAAAGTATCCACACGAAAATAATTTGAGCAGATTATCACTCATTTGAAAACTCAAATGTAAATATGCTTTTCACAGGTATTTCTTAACAAGCAAATCCAGCTTGTTAAGTAATAGGCATCAGAAAACAAGACAAAAAAATTGACACAACGGGAAAGCAAACATGCTCTTAAACCTGAAAAAGTCAGTATAACAGTAAAACCTGAAGACTCACCTCTGTACTGTTCCACGGGACGTATCAGTAATAACTTGCTCTTATGTTCAGCTTTCCATTTGTAGAGGTTCAGACCCAATTTGGCTCCCAAGATTCTGCCAAAGATTGTTGTTGTCAAACTAAACTTTTTTTTTTTTCTCCTGACCTTCTATTATTGTTGCTAGGAAGTATTACAAGTAAGAACATAACCTGTTGATGAGTGTATATTCCCCTTTAAGGAAGTAGCATTACAGCTGGTGAACTATGCTGATCACAGCTCTACCAGTCCTTTCCTGTTGAACAAAAAGGAAGCTGTTACATCAGCAACAGAACATATACAAAAATGAAAAGCATCTTTCATCTAATCCTTGGGTAGCTGCTGTTTTTGTTTCCCAAATCATTAGTGAGAATAATCTTCCATTTCACCCACCCCACTACATGTCATTTGTAATTTTATCAATTTGCAATGATAGCTGAAGTGTTCTGCAGTTTGCTAACTAAACTCCGACAAACATTAGCTAGTCATTAGCTTTTATACAGCTGTACAGCAGGGACTGAATCACCTGAGCCTACTCAGTTCCACTCAGCTGTGGTCATCTGCAATTTCTTTCCAGAAGGCCTCATGGGAGGGGAAGCAAGAATGCTTAAGAATAGAACTTCTCTAAAAAATCATGTTTAAAAACAACAACAACAAACCTTTACAACATGGTAAAACAATTTCATTCACCTCTCTTGGATTTTCTATTCTCAATAATTCAAGTTCATACTTTTAAAGTCTCTCAGAAATCGAGGAATGAGAGTGTATAGAAGTAAAGGAAATAGAGGGCATTTTCCTCTCTGAAGTTCCTTGCTACAAATACAAAATATTTATTTCTTAGAAGGAAAAGTATACAGAGACCTTTCTGTCTGTAATAATCTTCAACAGAAGGTTATTGTTGTACAGAGTCTGTAAAGTGCAGATATTGTCAGACATTTAGACAGAAAACTACAGTCAGGTTAGAAATATTAACAAGACATCACAGACTTTTTAATGGCTAAATGGAAGCTAATAGTGAAAGTGAGATTTCTGTAAGATAGAAACTTCACATCAGTTGCTCCTTAATAAATAATTCATTTGAAATAAATAAAATAAAACTGCACGGAATCAGTGTTTGGGACAGGTATAAGGACTGGACACCTGTGTCAGTAGACTGAAGTACACTGACCAAAAAAATGTAGTGTAAGTAATGGCACAGCAACTCATCATACATTTTTTTTCATGAATGTGTCTAGACCTGTAGCAACTTTCCCTGTGGAATAATAATTTAATCTTCTGTGTCTCAGCAGAGACTGTGATGATGTTGCTAATTAACATCCATGATGATGACTCTCTTATGAAAACATTCATCTGTTGGGAAATACCATTTCTAAGGCTAACCATCTATCTATTAGCAGGTCTTTCCATCACCTTTCAAAGGTAACACCATTTCTCTTGCACTGATTAGCATGCTATTTGAGTTACAGCTCATTTCATCTAATGGATACCTGGTTCTTGAACATAGAATCGAATATATCTGCTCATGTATTCAGTGCCTCCAATTTCATTCCATTATTTATGTACTATCTGCCTGGGAAGTAAAGAAGATTTCACTTTTTGTGTGTCTAGTAAAGTACAATTTCCAAGGAAATTGGAATAGAAAACAGATGTTATTTTATTAACAATTTGCCCATGCATTATATTTTGGAATGCCTCACTAAAGTTAGGAAGATGCTGAAGATTTCTCTTTTGATTTAACAGTAGAACTGATACTCTTTTCGTCCTATGTGATCATTATTCTTGGTTTATTTATTTACAGTAGCATTAAGTGTGTGCTACAGTCTCTAAGTTCACATGAGGAGGGCATTGCTTCTGCACAACTTCAGAAGGAATCTCTAATTCAAGCAGCTCAACAACTAGCAAGAAAACAGAAATGGAGCAACAGAATGAAAAATGATCAGAGATCAATGCCCATAATGAAATCTCTATCATCTATTACTACTAATATGAACACACAAAGGCAGTAGGAAATCAGGGATCACTGATAAAATACATTGAATAAGAGGATTTATCTCACTACAGCACTGCTTGAATGAGTGTATATAAAGTTACAGGGGGCAAGAACATCTCCATAAGCAGTAACCCAATGAAAGAGTGGGGAGGGAAGGAAGAAGAAAAAGGAAAGAGAGGAGAAGGTAGATGTGTCCATAGTGATAAATGCTACCTTTTTCTTCTTCTCAACAATTGGAAAATTCCTTGATGCTGCTAAAGCACATCCATACAAATTCTTCACTAAAAGTCAGTGGTAGGCTTGAATAGTATTTTCAGTATGCCAAATTGAAGCTCATGAAGCAGACCAAGTTTTATTCTTAACTCAATTTAGAAAATTGTTTCAAAAGGAAATAACTAATTATTCACGTTCATTTTATCTTCTTTTTTTTTTTTTACTATAAACACACAGTTCTCAATTGTTCAGAATTAAATCTGGTAGATAATTAACTAAAAACTGTTAAATTAAAAATAATTTGCAATATAAAAAAGAACACTATATGAAAGTGAAACCATAAAGGAAAGACAAATATACTATTAATTTCTAAAAAGCAAGCATTATCCACCATAATTTTAATCAGTTTCTACATATGTGAGATATTTTGGTCAGCCAACAAAAGGCTGTTGAAATATCAAATGAGTACATTTCACAATAACTGCAAATCAGAGTCAGTTCTTTTCTTTCTCAGCCAAAAAGTACAGCATTGCATTTCCTAACTAGGATGACTGGGAATCAACAGAGTTTTCAAATATTTTAAGTATTCTATGCACACATACACATGTAAATTAATACACCCAACTTGTCAACAGTAAAGCTTCAAAGGCTGTTCTTCAGAGCTACACTTACAGTCAAAGTTCTTAAAATTCTGGCTGAAACAAATGAAGTATCATTGATTTTTAAATAACTTGAGATCTAAAGTTTCCACTTTGTCTTTTCACCAGAGAGCATACTTCAGGCAAAGTACAATGGTGATACTTCATCTTGTCCGTGCTTCATTGCACATTCAAACTCTTTGAAGCTGATGCGCCCATCAGAATCCTGATCAACCTCTCTATAAGAGAAAAGAGATCTGGTTTTTAAAACCCAAAAGACATTACGTGAAACAGACATACTTATTGTAGGTATTCAACACCGACATTGTTTTGAAGAGCTCAACTTCTACACACTTGAATTCTATGCCATGAACTGAAATACACTTTTTGCATAGCACATCTCACTTGAGGAGTTAAAAGATTTTTAAAAAGAAGTATTGTTCTGTCTATTCAAGAGGAAGCAGAAGTGAATTACAAGATGAAAATTTGAATTCTACAAATTTAGCACTTTTAGCACAAATTTAGTTCTTCTACATTGTCCCTAGTTCCCCAAATTCAGTTATCTGGGGTGGAGATCCTCAGAGTTCCACAACACAGCATAAAATCCAAGACTTCTAGGTCATAAGATATCATAAGCTTACATTTAAATTTCCCCAAATTGTCCTATAACCTTTTGCATACCTCAAGCAGCTTATTTTGAAGCAAATATTGTGTTAACAAGCCTAATACTTGTAGCTGTAAGAGAAAAATGCTCTTTTGCATACGAGTATATGCTAAAGTGCATATTCTAATGCTCAAAGAAACACCTCTGAGAAGAAAAACAATTTTACTTATTTTTATCCCCATGATATAAGCTGATAGAAGACAGCAATTCAGTTAATGTCACTAACGTACAGGTCTAGGCTTTGTCAAACAAGGTTTACAAAATTTGATGTAGTGACAGATAAGGCTGACAGAATAGTCTTCTGTAAAGTATTTATCATAGTTCTGTCTACCTTTCTTACTAGAAACTAAGAATTATATAGAAGTTAACATTAAATAATTAAAAAGCTGATGAACTCTTGGAGCTCAAAATCTGCTTGTTGTCTCAGAAAATATTTTGTTTATAACAATATGCAGTCCAGCATTCCACTACTGATCTAGAATCACATTTTTAATTATTACTGATAAAATTTGCAGATGACAAAAATTGGTGGTATTATAGTTCTGCAAACTTTGCCATCACAATTAGTGTTCAATTGCAGCATTCCTACTGAACTGCAGCATGCAAAATGTGATGCATATTCTACATAGATTAAAAAGAAAACTTCAAAATAATCCAGGCTGTTTAGCAGTAGCCTCTGCTAAACAGCTTTTGAATGCCCTGGAAATTTCAAAGGGATTCTAGATCCTGCAGAGGTAGTACAGCATCTCAGTATTAAAGAAAGCCTCACACAAAGAGACAGGATGTACTACTCTATGCACATATGCTTAAACATATGCTAGAAATGAACTTCTTGTGACATGAAACATTTTCTGAACTTGGTCAGATGAACTTCAGACCTCATGGTGCAATAGTGAACCCTATAGCTCCACAAACCTATGAAATGGCACACTATCAATGCAGAAATATGTAAATGAAAGTAGTTCTTTCGGTTTATTGTTGGCTCTCAATCAAGACTAAATCATATTCATATTCTGCTGCTTTTCAGGTAATGACAGGTTTGGGATGATGATCACCCATGTGTCTTGGTGGACAACATGACAACTGATAACGGATCCTCTCAAATATCTTATGCTGTAATAGCAACAAACAAACATTCACCAGCAAGGGACAAACACAGGTCATAATTACAAAATGGAGATGCTGTCTTGGAAAGCAGTAACTGAAAAGGGCTGAGGAGTCATAAGAAGTAATCAAATGAAGATTACTTCCTACTGTGATGCTTTACATAAGAGGGGAAATATGATCCTTGAATGTGTAAGCAGGATAATATCTAAAACAAATACAACTGATTTTATTTCAGAATACAGCATTAGGAAAATTCTGAAGAAAATATTGCGTTTAGTTTCTGCTGCCCACACTTCAAGAACGATACTGAGCAACTAAAAAGAACTGAGAATAACTGCTGTAAATTACATGAGTTCTGGAAACGATGCCTTATAATGAGACATTAAATACTCAGTTTAAAAAAGGATTAGTGAACTGATTCTATCAAATCAAGTCCACAGGTATCTCCTAGGGAAAATATTTCAGATAGTAAATATCTTTTAAAGGAATAAGGAAAGACATGATGGTAGACACCAGTTGGAAACCAAAGCTAGAAAGATTTACATCTTAAATTAGGTTTGTTTATTTATTTATTTTATGAAGCTGAGAAGCTAAACTATGGGTGTATAACCAAGATGTTATAATCACAATATAATTGTGTATAATCAATAGATATCAAGATGTTATAATCTCAATATAATCAAGAGAGTAAGGCAGAGCAGACAACGATAACAAAAAGAGAATAAGTGGAAGAGCTTACCCTTGGGTTGAGCTCACCAGAAGACACCAAAAGAGGGGATCTCCAGAACAGATCCTTCCCCTCTGGTAGCCAGCTCTTCAATAGGTCCAGGAGGGGTGCAGCCTGGCTCCACCCCTTCCGGCAGCACAGGTGAATTGCCTTCAGCTGTGCTCCTCTGGCTGACTCATGGCTCACCTCAGGTGATCAATCGGAGGTTCAGGCCGTGACTCAGCAGTTCCCATACATATGGGTTATGAGACAATTTCTCTCTCTTGAAAATCAAGACTATGTAACTTTCTACAACATATATTCTAGTCAAAAGGAATACTAGGTTTAATTTCTTCAGGACAGACTCACTCTGTGGTGGAAATCGTTATTCTTTGATTTGTATTGTATGTACCTTAATTATCTATTAAATTATTTAAGCATCCTCCATCAGTATCAGAACAAAATAGGCATTTCTAGAGAATATTCATATTCATGGTTACAGATAAGTGAAACGAAGCCATCCATAAAATTCTAAGCTAGGCTTAAAAACCTGATGAGTTTTGTGATTGAATAATACCACCAGACTTATCCACTGATACATTCTTACACAAAAGACATTGAAGATGATGAATGATGGTCCACGCTTGTCTTGTTTTTACCTATACGTCCCTATTTGTATACTGGTACTTTTCAGACAAGCAGAAACTCTGTAAGAAGGTATTTGAACCTGCTCAGAGGATCTGTTCTGGACTTCTAGCTGTGGTGCGCCTGTTCGTTGCAGGGGAGTTGGACTAAATGGCCTTCTGAGGTCCCTTCCAACTCTAAGGATTCAATGATTCCATGAACAGTTTAACCATCCCAGGCCAGTTCATCCTCTTGCCTCTGACAGCAGCCATCAGTTGGGTATGTATGGAAGAAAGGGGAATGTCTAGTAACATTCCCTTGATGTATTCTCTGTACATTCATGACTTTCCTAAACCAGACATGCATGTGTGTATGTAAATATTCTTGATGCATTTTTCTTGCATGATTTTTTCTAGCAGCTTTTCAAATCCCTGTGAAACCCACAGCTTGAACACCTGTTCTATGAATAAGTACCTCATCTTATTTGAACCTGCAAGTGATTTGACATTCCCATATTTTCAAGGGTTAACTGCCACTGAAGAATACCCTGTTCTCCACACAAATCAATTCCAGTTCTCTCAGCACTCCAAACAAGACTTGTGCTCCAGACCTCTCACCAGCCTCACTGCCCTTCTCTGAACATGCTCCAGGGCCTCAATGTCTTTCTTGCAGTGAGGGGCCCAAAAATGAACACAGTACTCAAGATGTAGTAGCCTCACCAGAGGTGAATACAGGGGGATGATCACCTTCCTGCTCCTGCTGGTAACGCTATTTCTGAACCAAGCCAGGATGCCATTGACATTCTTGGCCACCTGGGCACACTGCTGGCTCATGTTCAGCCGAGCATCAACCAACACTCCCAGCTCCCTTTCCTCTGCACAGTCTTCCAGCCACTCTGTCCCAGGCCTGCCGAATTGCCTGGGGTTGTTGTGGCCAAAGCGCAGGACCTGGCACTTGATCTTGTTGAACTTCATCCCATTGGCCTCAGCCCAGCTATCCAGCCTGTCCAGATTGCTCTCTAGAGCCTTTTCTACCCCATTTATGTTCACTATGTATGTCCTCAAATGAGCTTCATTTGGAAGCTCATCTTGAAAAATTGCCCTCTTCTTTATATAGTGTTTGCTCTACATTCCAAAAGCCATCAAATGACTCTTAGAATTAAGTATCACTTTCTGAACAACCTTTCAGCAGAGATTATCAAGATATGCTGGCTGATATATGACTAATAAACCAGTAAGTAGTTAGCTTTTGTGACCTGAAGAAATGCTGTCTTTATTTAAATCTTATGGATTTTTGAAACCTTGCCAGAAGTAACCTAAAAGCTGGAATGGCCTTGGAGTGTTAAATTTTCCTTTTTTTTCCAGTTGAAACCAATGACACATTCACTCTTATGATTATGAAAATACTTTGTCACAGCATATTGATCTTTATTTCACAAACTACTAATCATTTAACAATTTTAGTACAGAGATGTTTCAAGGTATGTGGTGCTGTGGGTAGATTGTGTGATCTTTCATTGAAAATTGAGTAATAATCACCATCACAAGTTGCTGACTGTGAGATATAAATTATTCTCTTATACAATTAGGTAGTTGAAGACTCCCCAAATCACCTAAGTGTATTTTCATAGCAAACTGGATTAGATAAATGGCACTTCCCATCTGACAGGAATATTTTAACATGAATCTAAGTAGAGTAAATGAATAGCTTAAAAGACTAATGTCGGTATAAATTGCCTCTTGAAGTTTCATGTTTATTAATTCACGGAAATTAGTACTTATCAGAAAAGTATCCACATGCAAATACTGCTTACTCGTTTATAAATAATTGTATGTATTAAGCAGGCACTCCAGCTTTTTCCCCATCATACCTGAAACAATTCATACACGGTCAGATTTTACAGTTCCTAAAACAAAAACACTAAGAACAAGAAATACAGTATGCCTTCTTTTTGTACGGACTATCACAAAAACAGAACCCTTCAAGTAGGCACAAAATTTGAAATATTCTTTATCTGGTTTATACACAGTTTCTCATTAACCCATCATATTTATCTAAAACACGTAAAAGTAAAGATTAAAGATTTTAATTCTGCTCTTTGTCCCCTAGATAATACAGTATCTGACCTAAGGGGTAAA